GTCTAGCAGACTTTTTTGCCTGGGCTGGCTTTGATCCATGATACTCCAGAGTTCACCTCCTGAAAAGCTGGGCAAAAAGCGGGCCACCAGTGCCCAGCAAAATTGGGGTTTTTATCAGGTAAATTTTTATTTGTTGCACATAGAATTTTTAATGTAATAGTTAAGGTTAGAGGTATGAATGATATGATGGGAAAAGATTTTAGTTTCCAGTGTAGGCAATAAGTGAGCAAAGTCATACTTTCCAAGATACAATGTCAAAGGGCACTATTTTTTCGGGGGGGGGGGGGAGAGTCGGTCGTGGGACTTGAACTCTGGGCTTGGGCGCTGTCCCTGTGCTCTTCAGCTCAAGCCGAGCGTTCTACTGCTTGAGCCACAGTGCCACTTCTGGTTTTCTAGTGGTTTATCGGAGATAAGAGTCTCACGGACTTTCCTGCCAGGGCTGACTTTGAACCGTGATCTTCAGATCTTAGCCTCCTGAATAGCTAGGATTACAGGCGGGAGCCACCAGCGCCCGGCAAAGGGCACTATTATTATATACATGTTGAATTGAAAGAGACAAGTACATACTTGAATTGGCTTATCCTCATGAGCCCGTATCCTACTGTACTAATCTAAATGTGGTGGATATTTTGAGGGCAATTGATGCTTTCCAGTTACTTTTCCTTGATAATTTGGAACATTTGAAAAGATTGAATTCAGAAGTGGCACTGTGGCTCAAGTGGTAGAACACTAGCCTTGAACATAAAGAGGCTCAGGGACAGCACCCAGGCCCTGAGTTCAAGCCCCATAACTGACCAAAAAAAAAAAAATTGAATTAAAAAAATACATGTACTTTGTAAGTCGTTATGTCAAAAACGAACTTTACAACTTTGGTGTGGGGGGGGAAGGGGGAACGGGGAAGATTGGGTAGGGGGGCAGGGGGAGGATGGGAAGGGGAAACAAAGGAGGAGGCTACAATGCTTGATAAGAAATGTACTCATTGTCTTGCCCATGTAGTTGTAACCCCTCTGTACAGTATTTTCACAATAAAAAAATACATGTACATTGTCTTGCATATCATATATTAATATGGTATGATCAGTGCAGTATAGTTTTCAAATGCCTGATAAAATATGTACTTTAGAATGAAGATGCTTCACCAAAATACTAAACATTAGAAATGCAATTGGTCCTTTAATATGGAAGGTCCTTTAAAAAGTTATTGTTGTTGTCAGATGTGGTACATGCCTATATCCCACTGCTTGTGGGATTGATAAGTAGGATTGAAAATTTGAGGTCAGCCTGGCATATGAGTGGATTTAAGGCTTTGTAGCCAGACCCTGTGTCAAAAAGGAAAAAAAAAAATTGATATGGATTTCCAAAGTAAAAGGGATGCCACTTAGTGGATAGAAAGCAGTATTGCAGGAACTGAGTGGCTAGGATTACATTTATGACCCTGGATTTCAGAATGTTACCACTAGAGCCAGGCAGAAGAATGAATAAGCAGAGCCCAAGAAGGAATCTGAGAGTTGTTCTAGAATTAACCTGATGATGAATATTAGCAGCATGATCGCTTGTATTAATAGAGACACACAGCACTAAAGAAAGCATGTAGTTATTTATAACCATAGCTTAGAAGCATGGGTGACTTGTTTTCCCTGTCCATATTTGGCAGTGTCTATAGACATTTTGGTGATCACAATTGGTGTGTGTGTGTGTGTATATACATGTTCATGCACCTCTTGATATTCGTACCACTGCTAAACATTTTACAATGCTTAGGACAGTGCCCCACAAAAAAGAATTGTTAAGCCCCAAATGTCAAAAGGATTGCTACTGAGAAATCTGGCTTATAAAAATTAGTTTCACATATTTTTATTTTTTTATTTTTATTTTTTATTTTTTTGGGTCCGGTCGTGGGGCCTGAACTCTGGGCCTGGGCGCTGTCCCTCAGCTCTTCAGCTCAAGGCTAGCACTCTACCACTTGAGCCACAGCACCACTTCCGGCTTTTTTCTTTTCTTTCTTTTTTTTTTTTGGTTCTGTTGTGGGGCCTGAACTCTGGGCCTGGGCGCTGCCCTCAGCTCTTCAGCTCAAGGCTAGCGCTCTCCCACTTGAGCCACAGCACCACTTCCAGCTTTTTTTCTTTTTGCTTATATGGTGCTGAGGAATCCAACCCAGGGCCTCAGGCATGCAAGGCAAGTGCTCTACCACTGAGCCACCTTCCCAGCCCCAGTTTCACATATTTTTGAACTAAAAATAAAAACCACCTTGAATAGATTTGGTCAAAATTCTTTTTTTCAGATGTTAATACCGTTAGACCAGTTTTGTTTCCTAATGAATATGTTTTGTAATCTGGGTTCATTTTATCAGTGATGAGAGTGTCATTTTGTAAGTCCCTTTCAGAAGTGAAAAAGACTGGATTCTCCTGTGTAACCTGCTTTCAGTCTACATTTCCTTCTGTCATGCCCAACTTATTAGACTAATTGACCTGCCCACTGGCCAGAAGCAAGCACGTAGGCACATTTAAAATTTGGACAAATTATTTTTTTATGTGAATGAAATTACTATTTTCTGTTATATCTTTAAAAAAAAACCCAACCTATTTTTACAGTTCTGTAATGAAACAAGTGTCAAGTCACTTTAATGAATTTCTTTCTGTTGTGATTATTCTGTCTAGGTAAGTGAAATGCTTAATTTATCATCTTAAAAAACCTAGCAATCTCTGGCCTTTCACTGTTGTCCTAGTGGTGATAACTAATGTTACCACCCCTGGGTATGATACAGTATCAATTTATGTCTTAGAGACATATATATATATATATATATATTTTTTTTTTTTTTGGGTCCGGTATTGGGGCCTGAACTCTGGGCCTGGGCACTGTTCCTCAGCTCCTCAGCTCAAGGCTAGCGCTCTACCACTTGAGCCACAGCGCCACTTCCAGCTTTTTTTCTTTTTGCTTATGTGGTGCTGAGGAATTGAACCCAGGGCCTCTGGCATGCAAGGCAAGCACTCTACCACTGAGCCACCTTCCCAGCCCTTAGAAACATATATTTTTAAGTTGAAGGTTGAAACACATATTCTGTGAACTTTAAAGCCCTTCTAGTAAACAAAATCCAAATTCATAATGTTGTAATCCCAAAGATAAGGGAACCTATAAAATGTGAAAAGAATTGAGTTGAATATAGAAGTATAAATTATCTTAAGCATTTATTTCTTTAGTCTTCACAGAAAGTGTGCTAGAGGTGTTAAACATACCTGTCTAGATGAAGTTCTTTATAGAAAACCACACATACAAAACTGTTTTCACAAATACACTCTTCTTAAGTAGTGAAAGTGGGTATTGACTAAGTTTTACTACATTTTAAACTTTCTATTAGCTGTCACATCTCTGTTATAAAATACCTGTCGAGAACAATTTAAAGGGGAAAGATTTACTTTGTCTTGGAGAATTCAGTCCATGATTTCCTGGCCCCATGATCTTGGGCAAAACATCACAGCATTGGCAGTCCTCTTCCCCCAGCAAAACCAGCACCAAGAGGGGGCCAGGAACAAGTTATCCCCAAGGACCTGGCTCCTGTGACCTAATTCTTGCAGCTAGCCTTGCCACTTCCCAAAAGTTTCCAGAATCTCCCAAAATAGGACTCATGACTGGGTCCTAGCATTCAATACTGTGGGGATGCTTTGTGTTGAAATTGTATCAAGTTCTTTGAGTTTAGGGAAGTATCCTCTGGTATCCAGTCAAATGCTGAGTATACAGCAAGAATGCAAAAAACACACGCTAAATGAATCAAAAGTGAAAATATTCAGATAAAACACATGAAGAGGCTCAGACCTTACCCTCCTTACAGATCACAGCCAGTTTTACCTACCTAGCAACATATCTCTGTGTCTTTCAACTTGCTGGTACTGGCACAGTCCATTCACATGTCACATAGAAATATGACAAACTCAAACTTTTTGTTCTTATCCAAACTTAAAATTATCCTCTTCTTTGTTTCCTAGTTTGTTCTCTGTTCTTTTCTCTCCTCTCTGGATTTACTGAGGTTTGAACTCAGAGCCTTGTGCTTGTTAGGTAGTCATTCTACCAATCGAGGCATGCCTCTTGCCCTTTGTGTGTGTGTGTGTGTGTGTGTATGTTATGTTCCTTTCAGTTTCTTGATTTTTGCCCTAGCTAGGTTAGAACTGTGATCTTTCTACCTAAGCTCTGTTCTATTTTTAGAGCCTCTTTCTCTACTTGGGCCTTAGTTCCCCCAACCTTTAGTCTCCATGAACGTTTACTTGGACCAGAAAATACAGGCAGACTTCCTGTTTCTGCCATCTTTTGCTTCTTGAGTGTACCTCCACGGTCCCCTCTATTTCCTCCCTGATGCTCCCCCCCTCCAAAAAAAATAAATCTATGAGCTGGTTTGAGTTTAGCACATAGTATGCTTCTGATAAACTTTAGAAGTTCAACTTGTACAAGATGAAAATGTACTGGAGACAAACTCCCTGGCTTTATGACCTGCCATTCAAGGATTTAACAACCTATTTTTCCAATCTCACTTCTCATTTTATAATCTAGTTAAAGTATCTTCATCTTCCCTACCATTTATAGTCCAAAAGTTTTGTTACCTCACCCATTTGTCTGAAACCCAACTGCCTTTACAGGGCACCCCTACTTCTAAGGCTTTGTGTCCTTAAAAATAATAAATCCGGGGAAAACATTTATGAAGACGGGATGCCATCTTATTTTTAAAATATATCTTCGATAGGCCAGTGTGAACCATACTGTGGCTGTATTGGTTGCAGAATGGCCTGACTTGAGGATCTTGTTTTCACTCCAGTGAGGACCAGGCCGGAAAAGGAAAAGCTGCGCGACCTTTAATAGAAGAGCCAAGGCCCCGCCCACGCCCCGCCCACGCCCCGCCCACTTGCCAACCGCCGCGCGTTCGCAGCTCGAGGGGCGGGGCCGCCCCGCCCCTCGCCGCGCCTCCGGGCGCCAGGGCGCATGCGCGGAGCTCCTGCTGCGGCCTCCGGAGCTGCGGAGCGCGGCCCGGCCGCGCCGGAGGGGAACCCGTCACCTGGGCTGCTCGGGCCGCCGAGGTCTGGCGTCGTCATGGACTCTCCGTGGGATGAGCTGACCCTGGCTTTCTCCCACACTTCCATGTTCCCCTTTTTTGACATCGCCCACTACCTAGTGTCGGTGATGGCGCTGAGGCGTCAGCCAGGTGGGTGCGGGCGCCGCGGGCCCGTCCCTCGGGTTCCCGCCGGTCGGAGGCCGGGCAGCCGCGGCTCGCCCGAGGACGAGTGGGGAAACGGAGGCCGGCGAGGCTGGAGGCCCTGGGGCGGGTGCGGGGCTTGGATGCTCGGTCCGGGGCAGCTGGCGCGGCGCCGGAGCCGGGACGGAGCGCGGCCCCCGTCCCGCCCGCGCTCCCCCCCCCCCCCCCCCCCCACGGTGTCCTCGCTCCGCGTCCGAGCTGCGGCCCCCGCGCCCGAGCGAGGGGGGCCCGATGTCCCGGTCACGGGCGAGCTGTGCCATCGGGGGGCTGGGCCTAGGGCCCGGTGCAGCGTGCCCTGCAGCGCCCCTCGGTACCCCTCGGTAGGGCCGTGTGAGGCCCGGGAGCCGCGTCTGCGTTTTCCTGCATTTCACATTCATTTGTTGGCTTCCACGCGCTCTCCTTTCCGAGTGCCTCTGCCTTTGGTTTTGTCCGAGTCTCTCATTTGTCTCTGCGCGCGCAGGGGGATGCTGTCTAGGTTGTCCCAAAGCCTTGGCTCTCCGAGTACTTTTGTACTTGCTCTGCACTGTGTAGCTCAATCTCAATCATTACATTTTTAATTTTTTTTACCCAGCATAAATGGAGTTACTACTGTCTTAAAGCAAGATGGGTAGGCAACTGGCATAAGATATTGCCTTCTTTGATTTGAAGAGAACTACATTTTGTTACTACTTCTATCCAAAAGTTGACATTCTCTTGAATCGATTAACTCAGAGATTCCCTTAAGTATAGTCCAGGAACCCACAGAGTTCCCTGTCGCTTCCAAGTTAGTTCAGGTACAGATGGTTTAGACCTGTCATTCTAGTGACTTGGGAGGCTGGGGTCAGGAGGGTCTTGGTTTGAGGCCGGCTTGGCCATATAGACTAGGCTGCTCAACCAAGAGTTATTGCATGCCTGCCATTCTAGCTATGACAGAGAAACCTGACTCAAAGGAGTTCAGGTGCACCGAGCAAAAAGGGAGCCCCCTATCTGAAAACAACTAGTATAAACTAAGGGCTGGAGGTTGTAGCTTAGGTGGTAGAGAACTTGCCTAGCAAGTATGAAGCTTTGAGTTCAAATCCTAAATATATATGTGTGTGTGTCCATATGTATATGTATACATATATAGGGATCCAAATGTAGATGTATCCATGGATATGTATCCAAATATATATAATATGTATTTCATAATATTCAGCTATTGCTCATCTTTTTCACTCCTACTTTCTCACAAGTCTTCAGTGAGGTTTGCCAGAGGCAACATGACTTGTGATGATGTTCGAAGGCAGTGAAGCAAATATGAGACTCCAGCAAGCTGTTTTCTCCTTGAAGTCAGGCTTTAAGGAGACTTACTACAATATATATGTGTGCCTTTTCTCACTAGATGATTTTGCTTTGAGAAACGTAGCTAGAAATGTAGCTATTTCTCATTAAGAATACATGATTTATGCTAACATTTAGTGCACTCATAATTTTGAAAATCAGTACATAAAGAACTAAAGTATTCTTATAATTTCCAATATGTTAAGTATTGATACATGTAATTCCCATAAAAGCTCTGGAGTTTCCAAAATTATTTTGTTATTTTTTTAAAGATATGATTGCATGCATTATCTCACTTTTTTTTTTTTTTTTTTGGTTGTTGTTGGTCATGGGATTTGAACTCAGGGTCTGGGTGCTATCCTTGAGCTTTTTTGCTCAAATCTAGTGCTCTACCACTTTGAGCCACAATGCCACTTTGGATTGATTTTCTGGTGGTGAATTAGAGGTAAGAATCTCATGGACTTTTCTGCTGGCTTTCAACCATGATCTTTAAATTTTCAGCCTCTTCAGTATCTAGGATTACAGGTATGAGCCATCAGCGCCCGGCACTATTTATAATATAAAGTTCTGTGGATTTGGACAAACATAGTCATGCCACCACTATCACAAGAGAAATTTAGAACAGTTTCCTAACTCATCCCCAATGCTCTTCTCCTTTGTAATCAGCTACTCTCTAACACTGGTAAGCATCTATCTAACTTTTAGGGGAATAGAAGGATCACAAGACCCCCAGATTTGAAAATTACTTGGACATTGGATATTAACAGCATTCTACATGAAATATTTTTTTCAGTATCAGTACTTGTAGAGAGGTTAAAAAATGATAGAATTCACACAGATGTACCTATTAAGCTTTCACTAGACGTGTGGCAGCCTATATCTTATGAAAATAGTGACTATAGTTAGTCTTGCAATATCTTGTCACTTTCATCATTAGAAGACAGTTTTCACTTGCATTTGTTTTGGTTACTAATGATTTTCTTGGGTTTATTGGCAGCTTACATTTCATTCCTGTAAATTGCTTAATACCTTTTGCTCATTTTTCTATTGGACTGTAGATTGCTGATTACTTTATTACCTCTGTTTGTGTTAACCATGGAATATCAATTCTATTTGTGTATATAGGCTTTTTTCCTTCTCTTGCTGTCTTTTAACTGTTTACATTGTCTTTTAGTTCAGATTTTTTTTTTTTTTTTGGGTCCGGTCGTGGGGCCTGAACTCTGGGCCTGGGCGCTGTCCCTCAGCTCTTCAGCTCAAGGCTAGCACTCTACCACTTGAGCCACAGCGCCACTTCCGGCTTTTTTCTTTTTGCTTATGTGGTGCTGAGGAATCAAACCCAGGGCCTCATGCATGGAAGGCAAGCGCTCTACCACTGAGCTACCTTCCCAGCCCCAGAATTTTTTTTTAAAGTCATGGTTTTAAATGTACTTTATGCTGTGTGTCAGTAGTTGTGGGGCTTGAACTCAGGGCCTGGGTGCTGTCCCTGAGTTTTTTTTGCTCAAGGCTAGCACTCTACCACTTGAATCAGAGCTCTACTCTGCCTTTATGTTGGTTATTTGGAGGTAAGAGTGTCATGGACTTTACTCCCTGAGCTGACTTTGAACCATGATTCTCAGATCCTAGTCTCTCAAATAGCTAGGACTATAGGCATGAGCCCCTGATGCCTGGTTTGAGATGTTTTAAGGGAATAAAATGACTTCCTTAAGTAACATAGTTAATAAATTATAGAGCTACCACTTGATTCCAGATTTCACTAATTGCAAAGTTTTTTTAAACTAGTCTCTGTTGTTTCTCTGTAGGCTTGTTTAATGTCACTAGTTTCCCAACATTCACAATTTCTCAATAACTGCCATTTGATAGGGTTTTTCTCCCATGGTTCCCAAATCACAAACTAATTTCTTTTCTGTGTAGGAATCAAACCCACGAATAAAGATTGTTCTGCATCTAATTTGTGATAGAAACAGTCTGGATATACTGGATAGATGTCAGTAATGTTCAGGTTTGCAGTGTTGAATAATCAGTGTAAAGACACACAGAAAAGTGTAAAAGTCACATGGAATTTTCAAAATGGACATATCTGTGGTAAATATCCAGATAGAACATATGCCATCCCCAAATCATTCTTTATTAAATAATTTTAAAAGCCAGAATAGGTTCTATTTAATGTGTAGACAGAAAGGAATCTGAGAAGTGACAGTCCAACAATTTATTTCTCTGAGTTTAGAGAATTTTGCTTAGATATGTCTAAACCCTCCCAGTACATTCTTTTAAATAGATGTGTTCTATTCCTTAGATTGGAGTGCCGTAAGTTGTTAAAATTTTGTTTGTACCAATAAGAAATGAGCATGTAAATTTAAAGAAGTCAAGTGTAATCAAGTAATATAATTAATGTAGTTAAATAACCTTGATTATCTTAGGAACTCCTGGATAGCTGGCATGAGAGGTGCATATTCATGCCCAGTTTATTGATTGAGACTGGGTTTTTTTTTTTTTTTGGGTCTGGTCATGGGCCTGAACTCTGGGTCTGGGTGCTGTCCCTCAGCTCTTCAGCTCAAGGCTAGTACCCTACCACTTGAGCCACACACCACTTCCAGCTTTTTCTGCTTATGTGGTGCTGAGGAATTGAACCCAGGGCCTCATGCATGCAAGGCAAGCGCTTTACCACTGAGCCACCCTCCCATCCCTGATTGAGACTGGTTTTAAGGAACCTTCCCCCTAGATTTTCCTAAGTAGCGAGGATTACAAGTATACACCTATATCCCTGACTCTTTGTCTGAATTTTTAAAATTCATGTATATTATCTGTTTTAGGATCACTTGAGTGGAGGTTGGGGAGTATTTTGTCTGGTTATTTCTCATCAATGTGTATATTTTAAGCACCACAGTACTACTATCAAAATAGGAAGTTTAACTGTGATGCAATAGTTTTATCTTGGCCGTGGGCAGTATAGTCCTTGGTAATTATTTCTTTCCTGGTCTGGGACATGCACTGCACTCAGTTGTTTCTGTAATGAGGAATTCTGACAAAAAGAACCCAGAGTTTGTTCATGTTAGCCAAGGGCTTCCCACTGAGCTACACCTCCAGCCCCCAGTTTCTACCTCTTTAATGCCATTTAACCTGGAACATTGGCCTTTTTGTTTGTTTTTTGACCTCAACATTTTAAACATAGAGGCCAGTTTCTTTTTTTCCCCTAGTATAGTCTTAATTGAATTTTTCTGCTTGGATTATTTTTGGTAGAAATACCACAGACATGATGATGTGCATCCTATCTGGAGTCACTTGATATTGTTTACATTGATGTCTACTAGTTTCTCCACTCCAAAATTTACTACTACTTTCTGTAATAAGTAATGTGTTTGGATTGGTTTTATCGTGATTGAAATACTTAATTCACCCAGAGGTGAAATGTTTCTATTTCTCACCTGTCATTTTGAAAGCTGAGTTTATTTCAGCCCCATATATTTTCTAAAGTATAGGATTATAAACTGTTCTTTATGTGTCATTTTGACATATTGTTTCTGTGTACTTACAGTAAGATTTGGGATGAAAGGGACAGTAAGTAGGAAGATTGTTTACAAATCATCTGTTACTAGGAAACTGGCAAGTAGAATCAGAACAGCTCATTTTCAACATACTCCAAGTCATAAAAAGTGCTTCTGGGAATGACACAGCCTGTGTGATCCCCTTCTACTCGGGAGGAAGAAATTAAGATGTGATTTGAGGCCAGTTTGGGCAAAAAGTTAGTGAGAATCCATCCCTATTAAGAAGCCAGGCTAATGGTATATGCCTGAAGTCTAGTATATGACATCCAAGGCTGACCTTGGATAAAAATCTGAGACCCTATCTGAAAAAGTACTAAAGCAAAAAAGGCTTAGGGGTATGGCTCAGCAAGGGAATAGCCTAGCAAATAAGAAGCCCTGAATTCAATCCAGTACCACCAGAAAAAAAAAAAAGTTTCTAGTCTTGTTTTAAAGACAGGATTTTTTTTTTTTTTTTTTTTTTTTTTTTTACTAATTCTGATTGGCACACTTAGAATACTAATTGGTTGATGAAAATTATGAATTTCAATTTATTAGTCTAGTGCAGTGGGCACTTACTTGGATTTAATAAATATTCACCTATCTGAGACCTTTTGTTTGCCATTTCAGGAGCAGTAGCAGTGGCATGGAAGAATCCTGTGTCAAGTTGGTTTACTGCCATGCTCCACTGCTTTGGTGGAGGAATTTTATCCTGCATACTGCTTGCAGAACCTCCACTAAGGTTTCTTGCAAACCACACTAATGTTTTACTGGCATCTTCAATCTGGTAAGCTGCCATCATGGTGAACTGTGAGCTATTTAAAAAATTGTTTTGTAAATTGTTAGTAAAATTGAATTACATTGTTTTTAATGTTTTTGAGAAGTTAATGTGTATGTAAGAAAAGAAACCAAATAGTGCCAACGGTTTTAAATGCAAAGCTTATTTGTTTGTTGCCTTTCTCCTCTTCTCCTAGAGACAGGTATTATTAACATTGTTTTACATATATTTAGTAGAAACACTTCAAACACCAAGAGGACATTAAATATTTGACCATAAACAATTTATCTTAGAACTGAAGTCATACATGAAATCAGATCATGATAAGAATCATGAAGTAACCAAGCAAGAAGTTTCAGTGACATTGTTATGATTCATACAATTCTTGTCACACTCTGTTATGTTATTTAGATCCTTATTTTGAAGTGAGGAAGAAAAGTATAATTCAAATACAGGTATCCTCAAGAGGATTGGTCAATTAAATTAAAAATATATAATCCAAAAAAAAGCCAAATCATTAATGCATGCAGGAAAAGAGAACAATAAAACTTAATGAAGTTATTATTGCTGTTATATTTTTTTGTCTGTTGTGGGGCTTGAACTCAGGGTCTGAGCACTGTCCCTGAGCTTTTCTGCTCAAGGCTAATGTTCCAGTACTTGAGACTCAGCTTCACTTCCAGCTTTTGGGTGGTTAATTGGAGATAAGAGTCTCATGGACTTTTCCTGCTTGTGCTGGTAGAGTCCTCAAGTCTTAGTTCCTGAGTAGCTAGGATTACAGACAAGAGCTACCAATGCCTAGATGTAACTACTTATTAAAAGAGATATTGTTAATAATAGTAGCAAAGGTAAAATAATAGTGGGAACTCCTGGCAGTAGAAACAGGAGGAGTAGTTTAACACAATTGATGTCTAATATGTATTGAGTTGCTACTATATGTCAACAGATTCTTTTCTTTTCTTTTCTTTTCTTTTTGGGGGTCTGGTCATGGTGCCTGAACTCTGGGCCTGGGCACTGTCCCTCAGCTCTTCAGCTCAAGACTAGCGCTCTACCATTTGAGCCCCAGCGCCACGTCTGGCTTTTTTCTTTTTGCTTATGTGCTGTTGAGGAATCGAATGCAGGGCCTCATGCATGCAAGGCAAGTGCTCTACCACTGAGCCACCTTCCCAGCCCCTGTTTCTTAGCTTTTTCACTGTAACACTTGAACCATAGCTCTACTTCTGTTTTTTTTTTTTTTTTTGGTGGTAAATTGGAGGTACAAGTCTCACAGACTTTATGCCTTGGCTAATTTTGAGCTGTAATCCTCAGATCTCAGCCTCCTGAGTAGCCAGGATTATTCCTGTATTCTAATCTCCTTATTTCCCACATATAATATCAATCCTAAGGTTTGTGCTTAGCTTATTTTTTAGAGAAATTTCTACTATGTATGAATAAACAATAGATATGTTTTTTTCTGTATTAAATTTAATAATTTATTCTATGGTGTTGGAGATCAAACCCAGGCACAGATTATAGCACTAAAGCTACAAGGATCAAAGTTACAGTATTTGGTCTGCTTGCACAGTAAATTGCTTTATATCCTGGAAACAGAAACATTGTCTTTGTTCTCACATGTGCTTAAATATAAAAGAATAATGCTGGCCTAAAGACATACTGTTTTCATTTTTTAAAAATTGGCATGCATTATGAAAAAATACAGCACCCATTCATTTTAAAAGCTCTGGAGAAAATGGGAATAGAAGGAACATTCCTTAAAACAATAAAAGCAATACATGACATACCAATGGCCAATATTATACTAAACAGGGAAAAACTACAACCAATTCTCCTAAAATCAGGAACAAAGCAAGGATACCCACTCTCTCCCCTCTTCTTCAGTATAGTTCTGGAATTCTTAGCCATAGCAGTGGGGCAAGAAAAAGACATGAAAGTGATCCACATAGGGAAGGAAGAAACTAAACTATCCCTATTTGCAGATGATATGATATTATACCTTAGCGACCCCAAAAACTCTACTCCCAAACTCCTAGAACTTATAAACCACTTGGGTAAAGTAGCAGGGTATAAAATTAGCCCACAAAAATCAGTTCCTTTCTATGCACTAGCAGTATACAAGCAGAAAGGGATATCGGGAACAGCCCAATTCACAATATTCTTCTCCCTCTTTCCCCCCCCCCTCACAAATAAAATATTAGGAATTAATCTAACCAAAGAGGTAAAGGACCTATGTAGTGAAAACTATAAAAACCTAAAGAAAGAACTCAAAGAGGACACCAGGAAATGGAAAGACCTTCCATGTTCTAGGATAGGCAGAATCAATATTGTGAAAATGGTCATTCTGCCAAAAAATGATTTACAAATTCAATGCAATTCCCATCAAAATCCCAATGAGGTTCTTTATGGAAATAAAGAAAACAATCCAAAAATTCATATGGAACAACAAAAGAACTAGAATAGCCAAAGCAATTCTAGGCAAAAGAAACAATGCAGGAGGGATCATGATAACCAAATTTCAAGCTCTCCTATAGAGCCATAATAACAGGTAGCTAGGCATTGGCACAAGAACAGACTTGAAGACCAATGGAATAGATTAGAAGATCCAGAAATAAAATCACATACCTATAGTCAGCTGATATTTGACAAAGGAGCCAAAGACATACACTGGAAGAAACATAGCCTCTTCAACTATTGGTGCTGGGAAAACTGGGTGGCCACATATAGAAAAATAAAAGTGGATCCCAGCCTATCACTATGCACTAACATCAACTCAAAATGGATTAGAGACCTTAACATCAAACTTGAATCTGAAACTACTGCAGAGCCAGCTAGGAGAGACACTGGAACTTATAGGCACAGGCAGGAACTTCCTGAAGAGTCCCAGGTTCACAACAAATTAGAGAGAGACTTGACAAATGGGACTACCTTAAAATAAAAGTTTCTGCACAGCTAAAGACATAGCTGTCAAACTAGAAAGACAACCAACCAATTGGGTAAAAATATTTACCAGCAACATCTTAGACAAAGGACTAATATCCATTATATACAGGAAACTCAAGAAGCTAATCCCTCCCAAATCTAACAAACCAATCATTAAATGGGCAAGGGAACTAAAGAGAGACTTCTCAGAAGAGATAAAAATGGCAAAGAAACACATTCGGAAGTGTTCATCATCCCTGGCCATAAAGGAAATGCAAATAAAAACAACCCTGAGATACCACCTTACCCCAGTCAGAATGACACACATCCTAAATTTAGCCAATGACAAATGCTAGAGGGGATGCAGAGAAAGAGGAACCCTATTGCATTGCTGATGGGAATGTACACTAATACAACCACTTTGTTGAGGGTTTTTTTTGTTGTTGTTTTTTTTGCCAGTCCTAGGGCTTGAACTCAGGGCCTGGACACTGCCCTTGAGCTGCTTTTGCTCAAGGCTAGCACTCTACCATTTGAGCCACAGCACTACTTCCAGCTTTTTCTGTTTATGTGGTACTGAGGAATGGAACCCAGGGCTTCATACATGCTAGGCAAGCACTCTACCACTAAGCCACATTGCCAGCCCCTAATACAACCACTTTGGAAAGCAGTCTGGAGGCACCTCAGAAAGGTAAATATAGACCTAATCTGTGACCCAGCCATACCACTCCTACGCATCTACCACAAGGACCCATGCACCTCCATGTTCATTGCTGCACTATTCACAATAGCTAAGATAGGGAAACAACCCGATGCCATGTGGTACCTGTATACAATGGAATACTTGCTGCCATTAGAAAGGACAAAATAATGACATTTGCAGGGAAATGGATGGAACTAGAGCAAATCATTTTGTGTGAGATAAGCCAAGATCAGAGAGAACAGCACATGGTCTCCCTGATATGTGGATGTTAAATCCAAAATGCAAGGAGATACAACAAAGTAAACAGGACTCAAGAAATAAAGGACAGCTACTTAATTTGTCATATAATTTCTAAATGACTCCATGTTCTTGACCTCATAGATGGTATATATATGTACACATCTGAGGGAAGCTAGGAGGAGGGCACAGAATCAGAAAGAAATAGGGAAAAATACAATGGGGGGGGCATCAGCCACAGTGGACATTGATGAAAATGAACTAAGCAACTCTAGGGCAGCGATGGGAGGGAGGGAAGGAGAAGGAAAGAGGAACAACTAACACTAAGCAAAAAAAATGTATGCCGGGTGCCAGCGGCTCACGCCTGTAATCCTAGCTACTCAGGAGGCTGAGATCTGAATATCGTGATTCAAAACCAGTCTGTGAGACTCTCATCTCCAGTTAACCAGAAAACTGGAAGTGGTGCTGTGGTTCAAGTGGTAGAGCACTAGCCTTGAGCTGAAGATCTCAGGGACAATGCCCAGGCCCAGAGTTCAAGCCCCACAACTGACCAAAAAAAAAAAAGAAAAAGAAAAAAAGAAATGTACCTATGACCCAACGCAGAAGAAATAGTTGTACTGTCAAAGCTTGTAGAATTTACAAACTTTATAGACCAAGATAATGAGGATTTGCCTTGTGAAGGTTAAAATGTTTGTAACTTTAAGTATCACTATCCTACAATACTGTGAGATTTGTGAAATTTCTGTAACCATTTAATCTCAATAAAAATTATTATAAAAAAGAGAAAAAAATTGGCATGCATTAGCTATGAAGGGGTAATTTCATTGTTATATATTCGTGCATGTATCCAGTATATCCCAGCCAATCTCACCTTCTTTATCCCTTCCCTTATTCCTTTACCCTTTTCCTAAAACAATTCCAAGAAGTTTCATCATTCTATTCATAATTGCCAACAATTTCAACATCCAGTCTTTTGTACCCTTGATATCACCATTCCCTTTGTCTACTTTCATTTTTAAGGTTATGATATTTAGAATAAATATATAATTTTTTCTTCACTTTAATTTGATAGTTGAAAATATTTGGAATATATTTTTGTATTAGAATGTACTTTAAATTGTCACTTACAGATCTTCCTCCCCTCCCCCCCTCCCCCCCACCCCCATGTGCAGACATCTAGAGATTAGCACCATCTACTGGCAAAGAAAAATGATAACTAGGTTAGGTCCTAATAAAATTGGAAGATTGTATACTTTCGTAAGATTTTTTCTTTAGTGAAATCTATTTCTGGGGGAAATAGGTATTTTTTTTTAGGTATTGATTTTTATGCTCTATTATGTGTCTCTTAAATTTCCAGTATAATTTACAATATATTGGATGTATGTGTAACTGAGAATGCATTTAGATGAGGAAAAATACATAGTTAGGTGTTGTTCTATCAGTACTCCCCTCCCCTGCTCCCGTTGTGGGGCTTGAACTCGGGGCCTGGGCGCTGTCTCTGAGCTCTTTTGCTCAAGGCTAGCACGCTAGCACCACTCTCAGTTTCTTGGTGGTTAATTGGAGATAAGGGTCTCAGGCTGGTTTTGAATTATGATCTTCAGATCTCAGCCTCCTGAGTAGCTAGGATTACAGGTGTGAGCCATCAGTGCCTAGCTTGTTTGTTTGTTTTTGAGACATTCTTTCTATGTAATATAGCTCAGGCCAGCCTTGAACTCACTGAATAGTCCTGGCTGCCTTTGAATGCATGGTTCTCCTGTTCAGTCTCAGGATTTCTGGGATTATAGACTACCACACTGGGCCCATTCTGTCAGTTGTTTCCAAAGCATATATATGACATTATTAATTTGTTAGAGTAATAAGAGGAAAGACAATGATATGATATCGTTAGACAAATGTGAACTACAGATTATTCATGTTCTTGAAAGAAGAGTAGAATATGTAGTAGAGTGTAAACAGCTCACAGAAGATAACTTATCTCTGCTTAGTAAAAGCCCAGATGCTATTGCCATCTTTTCTAATAGTTATGGCTTCCATTCATTGGTGGCCCAGGATCTTGTTTGTGTTGTTTTACTGGATTGATTTTTTTTTTTTTTTGTCAGTCATGGGGCCTGAACTCTGGGCCTGAGCGCTGTCCCTCAGCTCTTTAGCTCAAGGTTAGCGCTCTACCACTTGAGCCACAGCGCCACTTCCCGCTTTTTCTGCTTATGCGCTGCTGAGGAATTGAACCCAGGGCCTCATGCATGCAAAGCAAGCACTCTACCACTGAGCCACCTTCCCAGCCCCTGTGTTCTGTTTTATTTGGATTGATTTTTATGTCTTTTTCCTCTTTCTATTAACCTAACACATGTGACCTAAAAGTATAAGAGAATTCTATTTCCTTGTCTCATTCCATTTCTTTTTTCATTCCTTAGTATTTTTCTTTAGCTGCTTTGTAAGCTTAAGATCTTTGATGTTATAAACTTAAAGGTGAAATTGTTATTGTTACTACTACTACTACTATTATTATTATTTTGTTATTATGGAACTTGAACTCACAGCCTCAAGCTCTTACTTGGATTTTTCACTTCTACCTCTGGCTTTTTGGTAATAAATTGGAGGGAAGAATTTCACAGACTTTTAGGACCAGGCTGACTTTGAACTGTGATCCTAAAAGCACATTACAAAAGGGAGCCACCAGCACCCAGATTATAGGTAAAATTATTTTTACAGAGGTAACAACATAGTGAATACCTAATGAATAATAAGGGAGTCACTAAAGGAATTTTAAAAAGTTAATTATCATGTTTAACAGACCAGAAATGGTTGTTTAGGGAGCCATTGGTCTGATCTGTCTAGTGATCATTGTAACCAGTTGTTCTTTTGCTCTGTGGCTATTTAGTACTCAAATAGGAAACGTTTTTTCACCCCCCCCCCCCCATCAGACAGGTAATATACCTATATTGTAACAAGGTTTGAAGGAGGTACATGTCACGTAAGCATGTGAGAACCTAATCATCATACTTATGAGCTGGAAAAGGATCTAGGAATAGTTTTTAAAAATACATTTCCTTATTATATGTACTTTAGAAATATATGATTAAACAATTCTTTCTTCAGAGGAGATAGTAATTACAAATTTTAGACCATATGCCATAATGCTATATAACTGGATATATAAACATCTAAAACTGCTGTTGCAATAATCTTAAGTTTTTAACTCATGCTAAAGACAAGCTTAAGGGATGAAAATGGGGTCCATTTGTAATATTGTTCTTATTCCTTGGAGTATGTTACTTTTGAGCATTAAGTTTTGCTAAAGCAAAAACAACTCTTTAAAAAAATTTTTTTTGTATTGGGCCTGGGACTTGAGCTAAGGGCCTTGATGCTGGTCCTGAGCTTTTGTGCGCAAGGTTAGTGCTCTACCACTTGAGTCACAGCTCTGCTTCTGGCTTTTTGGTAATTAGTTGGAGATAAGAGTCTCATGGACTTTCTTGTACAGGCTGGCTTTGAACTTTGATCTCAGCCTCCTGAGTATCTAGGATTGATTACTGGTGTGAGCCACCAGTACCAGGCTAGATCCAATTCATCTTAATCTAATCTATATACTATGTATCCAAGTAGTTTTATTAAAACGTGTAAAGTTTATTATTTAAGTGTATTTATATTCTTTTCCTCTATCACATATCCAACTCTTTGGAAGTTCTATATTTAAAGAGAATAGTATACAGAAAGTTTCAAAGTATTATATGAAAATGAAAAATTTTATTATTATTATACTTTTTGTCCGTCGTGGGGCCTGAACTCTGGGCATGGGTGCTGTCCCTCAGCTCTTCAGCTCAAGGCTAGTGCTCTACCTCTCAGCTGAAGATGAAAAATTTTAAATCACGATCATTTTCAAGTTTTAGCAAGGGTTTGTTTTGGTATAACAGGATTACAGTAAGCAGGAATAGAAAAGAAGAAAACATTTCCTGTACCCTGTGTGCAGGAAATGGGAATTAGAGACTCAAAACAGTAGTAACTAACTTGTAGTTAGGTCAGTCTAGTGATTCCTAATCCTCATGTTTTTGAGTGGGTAAGATGGGTAAGGTCCACCCAAAACCCATGTAACTTTTATGTCTTTTGCCAGGTATGCAGTTCATTCTTTCTGTCTTATTTATGAATGCTTCCCAGACTTATCATTTCCAAGGAAAAGGCAGATGTAGATAGTCCCTCTTTAGTCTTCTTATAACTGAACATTGAAGGATGTAGGAGGTAAAGGTATGATGGGAGGGAGCGTTTATCATCTTTTTCAGTTTACTTCCTGGCCCTTTTGATATTTGTTAAAAAATATAATTTCTGGGGCTGGGAAGTTGGCTCAGTGGTAGAGCGCTTGCCTTGCATGCATGAGGCCCTGGGTTCGATTCCTCAGCACCACATAAGCAAAAAGAAAAAAGCCGGAAGTGGCACTGTGACTCAAGTGGTAGAGCGCTAGCCTTGAGCTGAAGAGCTGAGGGACAGCGCTCAGGCCTAGAGTTCAGGCCCCATGACGGACCCAAAAAAAAACCAAAACAAAAAATATAATTTCTTAGTCTTCTAATCTATCTATCCTGGCCCATTTCACCCTGTGATGAATTCGTGCCTTTTAATCTCAAAAGGTTATCAAAAGATAACCTTTTATAGAAGGTTATCTTCTATAAGGAAAAACGGAACCAAAAAGTTTTGTCCCTGCCACATTTCCTTTCAAATTCTGTATCAATTGATTCTTTGACTGCTAACAAATAATTTAGAGCCATTTTTCATCATGCTGCATTTTAGGGTAGAGGGTATTAAGATGAATGGCTCCTGTCATTTGAGAACTATTGTAATTTATTTTGAGCATTATAGTCTTTATTTTACATTATAAAGAAAAATATATGGAGAGCTATTTTGAAGTCTGGGAACTAATTGTTTTAGTTGTATAAGAGCAGCATTAATCTGAGCTGAAATTAAATAAAACTTCCAAAATCAATGGATAGCACTTTGAGGAATAGGAAGAAATTAAGTGGAGATGAAGAAGAAAAGAAGATTTAGGCTGATCACACCGTTGTATCTTTTATTATGTCTCAGGAGCAATATTTTGGCAAATATCTAGTTTTATATTTTTTCAGCTGTATGAAAGTATATTTTTTCTTCACATAAACCTGCTTCTTTGGCTGACTTCTGCTTTTGTATGGATTGAAGCTCGTGTCCTTCAAGGCACACAGGGAACGGTGCTAGTGCTGCAGCCCTTGCTGAATCACCAGAGGCTTTCTTTTCTTTTCTTTTTTTTTTTGGGTCTGGTCATGGGCCTGAACTCTGGGCCTGGGCGCTGTCCCTCAGCTCTTCGGCTCAAGGCTAGCGTTCTACCACTTTGAGCCACAGCGCCACTTCCAGCTTTTTCTGCTTATGTGGTGCTGAGGAATCGAACCCAGGGCCTCATGCATGCAAGGCAAGCGCTCTACCACTGAGCCACTTTCCTAGCCCTGATGAAATATTTTTAAGAGACATTTAGTAGATTTTGAAACAATAGCTTCCAAAATAGGATAGGTACAAATTAAGAAGTAAGTGATATTTCATATACTCATAGAATATTTAGGTGTCTCTGATCATAATATTTACAGTTTTTTTTCATGTGATTTAAAAAAATCAGCATAGTTCCCAATCTGTGCTCTTCTTAAATTCACCTTCTGAGCTAATATGAGTTTATATAGATAATTCCATTTGTTAGGTATTGCTATGTTGTTAATATTTATGAGCTGGATGTTTATTTCTATTCTTCTGATTCCATTCATATATTAAAATATTAAATTTTAATTTCAGGTATATTACTTTTTTTTGCCCATGTGACCTAGTTTCCCATGGTTATTCATACCTACCTGTTCAGCTCCTGGCTACGGGAATGAAGGAAGTGACCAGAACTTGGAAAATAGTAGGTGGAGTCACACATGCTAACAGCTATTACAGAGATGGTTGGATAATCATGATAGTTATTGGATGGGCCCGAGGTAATACTAATAGCATATATTCATAAGTATTGTATTGATGTTCCATAACTACTGAATAATTATGATTATAGTGATGGAGATTACATACTTTAATAATAGCTTTTTGGAAGGCAAAAACTATGTTGTTGGCTATTAAAATTAATTCAAAGCTTCTCATTAGTACCTCATCAGCCATTATTTGGAGTCTGACTGTCTTTTTTATGATTGATTATATTAGGAGCCCCTGAACTTGAGGAATTTATAGTTAATTATTTTACCACAAATAAAAAGCTTTATATAAGTATATATGTGGTTTGTGTATATACAATGCATTTCTTTTTCTCTACTGTGAATTATTGGACATGGAAAAAATGGTACAACATTGTTTCATGTTCATATTCTATCAGTGACTTCTACTATTTTATGTGGGACTTGAACAGATTTCTTTAACCTCTTGCTATAGTATACTGCTCCTAAAACTGATCATATCAGGAAAGGAAGTGATCAAGTATAAGATTGTATTTTTACTATTTGTAATATACCTCTAGTGATATCTCTGACTAAAGATCCAATTTTGACCTTAATTATAGTTTTTTTTCTTTTTTTTTGTTTATAAAAAAGGTAGTGGTCCAATGGGTGAAAGAGAATTTCAGTTGTCTCAGTGCTATAAGTATATAAAGCACCTTTTCTTCCTCCAAGGATTCTATTTTGGGAATTCTCTTAGATTTTAAGTCAGATGGTACAATGATAGCTTCCCCCAAATATTTTCTTAAGAAGACTGGCTAAATATTCTTGTTTCATCTTCTTATTTTTAGGTGCAGGGGGTGCCCTTATCACAAACTTGGAGCAGTTGTTAAAAGGAGATTGGAAGCCAGAAGGTGATGAGTGGCTAAAAATGTCATAGTAAGTTGGCATATGTTATCTTTATCTGGATTTTATCCTTAGATTTTACTTATTTGGTTTTTCTTTGCTTTTTTTGGGGTGCCATCCTGGAGCTTGAACTCGGGCTTAGCCCACTGACATGCAGCTTTTTTTGCTCAAGGCTACCACTCTGTCTCTTGAGCCACAGCTCCACTTACAGAAGCACCTATGTCCTGGTATAGTCTCTGTTTTCTCATAAATAGAATGTCGGCGAATGAATATTAATGGTGTTGGCCAGGTTTTCATAAGGCAATGAGAAAAGTGATCATGGAAACTAGAGGAAAAAGATCCTTGTTATAAAGTAGCATTAACTAATCTAATTGTTCTCTATGGTTTATGGAAAGCATAACTTGTAAACAGTTAATTTGGGTATTTTGCTAATGAGATTTTTTTTTTGGGGTCCGGTCGTGGGGCTTGAACTCTGAGCCTGGGCGCTGTCCCTCAGTTCTTCAGCTCAAGGCTAGCGCTCTACCACTTGAGCCACAGCGCCACTTCCGGCTTTTTTCTTTTTGCTTATGTGGTGCTGGGGAATTGAACCCAGGGCCTCCTTCATGCATGCAAAGCAAGTGCTCTACCACTGAGCCAGCTTCCCAGGCCCCCCTCCCCATGTTTTTTTTGATGCTTATAGTAAAGTGCTTGAGAAGAGTGCTTAATTAAAGGAGTAACTGCTAAAAAAAAGAAAGAAAGAAAGAAAGAAGGGGCTGGGAAGGTGGCTCAGTGGTAGAGTGCTTGCCTCATATGCATGAGGCCCTGGGTTTGATTCCTCATCACCACATAAGCAGAAAAAGCCAGAAGTGGTGCTATGGCTCAAGTGGTGGAGCGCTAGCCTTGAGCTGAAGATCTCAGGGACAGAGTTCAGGCCCACGACTGACCAAAAAAAGAAAAAGAAAGAAAGAAAACTACACTTGGTTGATTTGGGGTAGTTTCAGATTATTCAAATTATAAAAGATATAATTAGATTTATTCTTAGGAAAGTTTGTTCTGGAGAGAAGTGAAAGTTATATGTACAACCTTGTGCTACTGTTGAAGAGATTAGGTATGTGATTCATGGTCCATTCAACTAACATTGCAGAAGCCAGGAATAGAGATGAGTTATTCAAGAAAGATCTGTGGAGGATTTTCTTGTCTAATGGCGTAGATCCCAAGATACCCAGAAGAGTTTGGAAATGTTAAATCAGCAGAAGTACTGCCAGCTTGGACTGAAAGGACAAGATAAAATGAAAGATGACAGACTGCCCAAATTCTGTGTATAAGAAACAGGATGATAAAACTGCTCAGTTGAAAATGTGTCCTGCCTTTGAAGGAAAGGAATAATGACTTCATGGTGGGAACTGTGGGTCAAAGACCTGAAGCTTGGTTTACAGCTTGAGTCAGAGGTGCCAAGGCTGAGCCTCCAGTATGGAGATTAGCCTGGTAGACATGGGATGGAGTCTCAAGCCATAGAGTATTGGAAGTTGCTCAGATGAATTTCAGAATGGCTTGAAACCAATGGTGTCTTTCCTCCTTGTTTTCCCTTTTGGAGTTGAATATCTATAATGTATCCAATGCTTGTTCTGTCATTGTATTTTGGGAGTAACTTGTTTTCTATTTCACAGGAAACTAAAAAGTATTAGATTTTCTAATGCTATTTGATCTTCCTTAACAATCTCACACTTTATAATTTAAAATTTCTTTGTGTTGGGTGTTGGTGGCTCAGGGTTGTAATCCTAGCTACTCAGGAGGCTGAAATCTAAGGATCACAGTTCAAAGCCAGCCTGGGCAGGAAAGTCTGTGAGACTCTTATCTCCAATAAACTTCCAAAAAGTCAAAAGTGGAGCTGTGGGTCAAATAGTAGAGCACTAACTTGAGGGAAAAAAAAAAGCTCAGGGCCAGCTCAGGCCCTGAGTTGAAGCTGCAGTACCAGCACATATACACATTTTTTTTTTTTTTTTGTAAATACCATCTGTTCTCCAATGCCCTGCCCCAGTTTATTATCTATGCAGTTTTTCTTCCTCAGATGCAATATTTATTTATTCATTTTTATTTTACTTTATTTTATTTTATCTTTGACAGGAATGAGGTTTGAAATCACTCTGCCAACCCCTTTTTGCATTGGTTATTTTCAAGAAAGGGTCTTGTTTTGTGCTCAAGCTGACCAGGACTGTGAACCTTCTATTTGTGATTGATTTCCCTGTGTGTCTGGGATGACAAGCATGCACGACTGCACCTAGCCATTATACTTCCCATGTAGCTTGAGAAGGTAGATGTACAGTAACCATTGGTCAAAATAGAATCTCACAAACTTTTATTTGCCTTGACTGACCTCAAACTTCAGTTTCCCAAACTTTGCCTCCCAAGTAGCTAGGATTATAGCCTTGAGCCACTGCCTGGATGTTCCAGTCTTTTTTTTTTTTTTTTTTTCTCTGCCAGTATGGGGCTTGAATTCAGGGCATGGGCTGTTAAAGCTAGTGCTCTACCACATTAGCCACACCTCCACTTCTGGCTTTTTGCTTCTTGTCCTTTTTTTAAATGAAAGTATTATATGGTCAAATATGCTTCAGAAGTATTACAGTATGAAAACATGGCTTGTCATTCATGGTGCGTATGAATTTGTAAAATTTCTAACATTTCACACTTTGTGTTTGGATAACTTGACATTTCCAAACTTACAAGTATATTTATAAAGCTTGTTTTTGTGTTACTATACTAATAGCCTACTATTGTTTTATAAAGCACTCTTTGAAAAAGATACAAATAGATAATTTTTAAATCTTATGTTTGAAAAAGCAAAGGAAGCCGGGTACCTGTGGCTCATTCCTGTAATCCTAGCTACTCAGGAGGCTGAGACCTGAGGCTTGAGGTTGAAAGCCAGCCTGGGCAGAAAAGTACGTGAGATTCTTATCTCCAGTTAATCACTAGAAAACCAGAAGTGGTACTGTGGCTTAAGTGGTAGAGTGCCTGCCTTGAGCTGAAGAGCACAGGGACAGGGCCTGGGCCCAGAGTTCAAGCCCCATGATCCACAAAAATAAAACAACCCCACCCACCCACAAAAAACACACCAAAAAAAAAAAAAAAAAAAGGAAAATTTGAACCTCATGTACTGAGCAAATACCAGGTCTAGCAAACAGTGCTATTCCTAGATTATTTGGCTTAAAAACAGCAACAAAAAAACTACAAGAAATAGTACAATATAAAAACAAATTAATGTTTTATAGACTCTGGGAAAAAGAATTTTCAGCAAAGTACAAAAATTTAAAGCATTTCTTTGTTTAATTTTATAATTCTTTACTGTGGAATAGCTCAGGATGTCAGTTCTAAGTAACACAATTGATAACTGTGTGAGGAAATGTAATTTGGATTATAAAATTCTTGCTTTAATAACATTCCTTAAACAGTGATTTATATTTTGTATTTACCAGATCATTTTTATTACTTACTGACTTGAATGTGTTTTGTTTCAGCCCATCCAAGGTAACCCTGCTGGGGTCAGTTATGTTCACATTCCAGCACACCAAGCATCTGGCAGTATCAAAGCATAATCTTATGTTCTTTTATACCATCTTTCTTGTGACCACTAAGGTAAGAGTTTAAAGGGGCTATAGATGAGTATTACAACTTCTGTACCGCCTTTTCTCTTTGGTAGAATCCTACATATTGATCAAGCACTAAGTATATTAGTTGTTTTATTATAATTAAAATGAAAAGATACAGCTTGTTTGGTGATTTGGCTACTTGCGGGTAGCTGGATAGTGTACAGAATCCAGAAAGTACTGGAGATAGTCATGGTTGATTAGAGTCTGCCTTATTTGTAAAATGAGTTTCTTGCGGTTCATGTTTTCTGAGTTTCTATAAGCTCTAAAATTTCAGGATTTTATATTAAGACATCTCTGTGGCCAGTCTTTTCTATTATTATTACCTACCTGGAAGTTTTAGCTTGTTTTTGTATGTGTGTGTATGTTTTTAATTTTAGTCAACTTTTATTATATACTAAAACATGTATAGTTCAGTATTCTACAATGTACATATTTAGCATATAAACATAGGGATATGTTATAATCTTAAATAGTTTTTTTTTTTTTTTTTCCTGATGATGGCTTGTTTGTTTGTAGTACTGAATTCAGGGCCTGGGCACTGCCCCTGAGTGTTTTTGCTCTATTTTTTTCCCTCAAGGCTAGTACTCTACCACTTGAGCCACAGCTTCACTTTGGGCCTTTTTTTTTTTTTGGGTGGTTAGTTAATTGGAGATAAGCGTCTCATGGACTTTCCTGGCTGGACTGGCTTTTCACCTTGATCCTCAGATCTCAGCTTCCTGAGTGGCTAGGATTACAGGTGTGAGCCACCCTCATCCAACTCAAGGTTTTGTTTTATTGTACTCTAAAAGTTAGACATCATAGAGGATATAAAAGTACATATGTATTGCTGTTTATGCTCTTAAAGAAAATATATTTTGTGTCAGGTATTTTTTTCCTGGACATTTTATAATGATATAGCTTGAAATATATAAAGAATATAATAGAGCTTTAAACAATTTCTTTGTCTGACTTTATTTATATTTTAGGATATATTGAGAAACCAAATCATTGTTAGAGCTTTCTACTTTCTTTTTTTCTTTTTTAATGCAAGTCTTTGACTGATACTATTTAATTTAGGTAAAATGCCTTTAAATAGTGTACCACGTAAGGAGACAGTATTATAATTTATTTGTAAAAGAGTAAGGCTTCATTGTATTTGTAAAAATTATGTTTGTCACCTTGATAGATCAAGAGTTGGTAAGAGGCTGAATTCACAGCAGTCTGTCCTTGAACCATCTCAGCAGTAATTTTGAATGCTAGTGATACTTCTCAGTAGAGCAATGAGTCTGTAGGGAGGGGAGATTCTATTAAAACACTTGACTTTGAAAAATATTATTAGTTCTTGTTCTTAAAAAATGCTTTAAGTTGTGACATAATTCTCTTTTGGATTTTGTAAAAAGATATTTCTATTTTCCTAACTATAGACCATTGCTTTTTATCTGAGTTCTTGTACCTTTTATTAGCTGGCCATTAAGCACAGCTATGACCAAGATAATTATGGTAGTATATCTCATACTAACTAGTCTAAAGAACACTGTTATATAAGAAAATTTATAAATCTTGCTCACTATTGGAATAAACTTGGATGATGATATTCTATTTAAACTCCTCTATAATTTTATTCCAAGTAACTACATTCAAAGACATGACAACCTTTTGCTTGTGTGATAGTGGCTAGACCTTTATTAATGCTAGTATTTGTTACTGTTTTCTAATTACCAATTTACTTGCTTGTTACTGCCTAACCTGTAAAGTCCTTGCTGGCAAGGATAGCATTTAGCATTCTGACAGGTGAGTGTAATGCATAGATTATTTTAATCCCATCAGTGCTTGATTTCAGACATTAATTCTCTTTCAGGTTTATCTTTCCAGAATGTAACCCTTTTAGAGTACCTATTTAAGTCTGAGGTGTGTATCTCAAGTCACCTCAGCCCCCAACCTATCTTCTAGCACCACGCACCCCTGAAATGTCTGCTCAGCTGTTGGCCTCTTGTCTGTGTCTCTCTGCAAGCTTTTGAATCTCTTTCTTTTTATGTGCATTCAGTTTAGGAATTAATACATCTTAGAACAGAGTGGTTTCACTGCCACAAGTTTCTTTTGGTCTGACTTGCCCTCAGGTTCTAGATGGGTTGGCTTTCTTAGGCTCTGGCTTGTCTCCTTTTCCTCTTGAGACTGCAAAGTGCCACATATCCTTGAAAAGCCAGCCATGGTGAATGTGAAGCTCCATGTATTCAACTTCCTTTCTCTTAGGGACATAGCACCATCAAGTTCTGCCTGTACTATTGCTCTCCAGAGATTTTTAGTATTTTTGAAATACATTTCTGATTTTGTTGAGATACAAGCTGTATAGTCATAGCTGACTTGAAGGTTCTGTGTACGTATTTTTTAAAGTGTTTTTGTTTATTTAGCAATAATGAGGTTTGAATTCAGGTCTGTGTTTATTAGGCAAGCTGCCTACCACTTAGGTCACATCCCTGTCCCTTTTTACTTTAGTTTATCATTCAGATAGGCTCTTGTAGTTTCTGCTCAGTTATCCTCAGACAATTATCCTCCTACCTCTAATTCCTGCATAGTTGGGATTATAAATATGTATTACTGTACCTGGCTTGTTTTTTGAGATGAGAATCTTACCTAACATTTTACCCTGGCTGGCTTCAAACTATGATCCTCCGATCTCTGCCTTTCATGTGCTGAGATTCCAGATTGTGTCACTACCATCAACCTAGATTTTTTATTTTTATTGGTGTCAAATTCTCATAACAAGATTAGCTATTTACATTTCAGTGGCATTTGGCCTACAGTGGTGTTTGGATTTACATAAGTGAAAATGAAACAGATCGTGTTCTGATGTTTTGTAAGATTTTTAACTTGAATAATATGCATTTCCCTTATCTATTCCTCTTGTGATGGACATCTACTATTGTTAAACTTTTCAATCCCTGGATTGTGTTGTATTTAATAAGAATTTTTTCTTGATTACATTTTTATCCAAGCAACTGGATTGTATAGGTGTCTTTTCTGGAAATGGATTAAATTTTTTTCCCATGTGATTAGTTTCTGTGCTGCAGAGAAATTGATTCTTAGAAATTCCTGGACTTTTTGAGAACTACTCTAGAACTTAAAATTCTCCTCAAGGTCCATTTTGACACCAGTCTATTTCATGAGCAAGTCTAAACATTTCTGCACACCAAGCTTTGCCAGATAAAGAACTGGAAACCCTCTCTACTCTTTCTTATGATTCCATATCTATCAAATCTCTATCTCTGTCTCTGTCTTTATAACTCTATTATATCTATCTCTATTTCTCTATCTCTATCATATACACATACATAAATTGGGTGGTTTGGTTGAAGCTTTCTAGGTCATGCTTAGGAGCAATATTCTTTAATTCATTGTAAGTGTCTGACTTTTGGTATGGATAGTGTACTTAGTAATTAACCGCAAAATCTGAGTATTGTATATTGCTTTACTCCTTGGGGAAAGTGAGGTAACTTTCAGAGCTTTGGTTCTAAATCCATATGATGAGGATAATAACATAGTAGTAACTGTGTAGAGAGAGAGGAATAGTATAAAGTACTTATCACAGTTTTGGTATTTGTTAGGATTGTAGTAATTATAGCTCTATTGGTTATTGGTATGGACTGTAGATGATATTCTATCTTATTTCCTTTGAGTGTTACTTGTGTGGAAGTGGTTTTGCTGCTTCATACTCCTAAATGTGGTGTCTTGTATAATTTTCCTGGTTATGTTGTTTTTCATGGAAAATTTTCTAGAATCTGGCATTGTTTGCTTATGCATATTAAATTCAGAATACATTTTTTAATCCTTTCCTTTTCTTTCTGTCTTGAGAAACAGCACTTATACTTAAATTTAAAAGTGATTTCTTTTTCTAGATAACCATGATGGTTACAGAGACTTCTACCATGACACTTGCTCCTTTAGAAGATATATTGAGTCGGATGCTGTTTGGCTGGCAGCAGCAGTTTTCATTGTGTAGAAAGAAAAGTGAAACAAAAGCATCTTTCAATGGCACTGGCTCATCTACCTCAAAGCCTATACCAGAGGATGTGGTGGAAAATATTAAAAAGAAAAACACTAAGAAGACTGAATAAATTTACCTGATGAGCTGCTCTAAAAGGCAAAAAAAAAAAAAATCTCATCTACCTATCAGATTTTGATATTCTATGTAAATGATGTGAAATAAAGATTTTACAAGGTGTGGAGGTGACAAAGGGAAGGAATTCTTTGTTTCAGGGAGACTACCACTTTCACGATTGTAACTCCTGAGTGTTAGAATGAGTGTATCATGTAAATTTATTTTTTTTGATATGTAAGATATTCTCTTGTTTCTTTGAATAGTTTTATATTTATAAAAGAAAGGTAACTTTTTAAATGTAAGAAAAAAATAAACCTATTGTAAAAATTACAGACTTTTCAACCTTTTCAAAACTTAGATATTTTTACATTTTTAAAATTTGATTTGAATTGAGCTTTAGTTCATCAGAATTAAATACTTCACGTCACCATTATGGTTCCTTGTAATTAGAATAAATTCCTATCTAGTTTTGAACATTAAAAACAGCCAACTGTCCCTACAGTGCTTTTAATATAAATGAAAATAATTTTCAATCTTATATTTGATAAGTATTATAATTTTGCCCACAGTAAATGGAAATATACTTGAAATTTAATTTTATATCTCTAATGTTTTTAGGTGAGATCACAATATTAGTACAAGTCCCAATCTATAGTCTATTTCATGCCTTTGTTTAAAAACATTTTTTTCTGAAAAGAAAATCCAGGGTGCAGTTTGTGTGTGTGTGTGTGTATGTGTGTGTGTGTGTGTGTGTGTGTGCTGTGTGTGTGTGTGTGTGTGTGTGTGTGTGTGTGTGTGTGTGTGGCCCAGGGACCTCAAACTTGCCAGCATCCTGAGAGCTAGAATGACAGGCGTGGGCACCGCACCAGGTTACAGTTGTAATTTTTAAAAAATATGAATCCTATATTTAAAACTTTCATTTTGAGCTTAGTTTTATTACTTTTTCTAAAACACATTTGTTTCAGCTGTAGGAAACATTCTTCTCTGCATTGCACATGCTCTTTCCAGCTTCAGTTGGTGGCAGCTAGCTTAATGATTGAACAAAAATTATATCCACTAGAATTTTTTCTTTTTATGTCTCCTTTCTAGTGGCTGCCTTTTCAGTTTTAATGTCTCTTGGTAGTTTGTATATGGTTATGTTTTATCTTAATCTACATATACAGTATGAATTTTATTTTAAATGAAAACTAATTATTTCATGTGTAAATGCTCAGCTCTAATGAGAATTGTTCTTGTGCATTTGTTGGTACCAGCTAACAGAAACAGAAACAGAACCTTATATAGTCGTCTATTTGAATGAAGACATTATATCTGATCTCTTATTGCCAAACTAACAATAAAACAAGAAAAGATACTAAATGCTGGCAGGCTTTCTTGTTTTATTGTATGGGGTTTAGAAGTCTGATTGAAACTCTGTGATATGATTTCTTACACCAAGACCATGAACTTTCTACCTGTATCAGGTATTGTAGGATGGCATAGAAGTACTCAAATTGCATTCATATCAAGAGTTGTTGGCTTTTTTATTTCAAACACATAAACACCAGCAGATACTATCATTTTTGGGGGGAGCACTTTTGATAACTTGGAATAAAATATTGTGACAAAGCATTGTTTAATTCTGTATTATATTTGATATTCTAGTTAAAATCTATTTAAAACTTACATGTTATTGTCTGTTTTGGAATTTGAATTTATTGTTGGAATGGTAGAAATCTTGTTTTATTGTGTTAATGGAAAATTCATTAAAATAAGTTATGTATCACCAATCGAGTATTATATATTTTTTTCTTTTGTGTTTTTATTGAGGGTAGGAGTTAAGAATCCTTCTGTTGATTTGACTGGCATAGAATCTACCCAATGATTACTGTCTAAATGGGACACTGGTTCAAACTTTATTAATTTTTGCAAATATCCTATAACCCTCACTTCAAGGTTCTTGGGGGTAAAAATTATACTAGGGAAATAAGGGTTTGGCCTGAAATTTCCATCCTGAATCTCCTTAGGCTGTCAGCAGAGACTTGGCTTGGATTTGTCGCCCAGGTTATTTGACTCCTTACTCAATATGAAGCATGAATAAGGCCTGTAGATGTGAATCACACAGCTCAGCCAATCAGAGGTGGCACTGAGGAAGTCAAGACCTGGTAGGTCTCAAACAACAACAACAAAAGAAAGAAAAGAAAATGCTATAGATAGATGAAAAAAGAGAAACAAGCTGGCAGGAAGGAGTTCCTTAGAAAAATGCGCCCAAATGAAGATCCCAATTCTGATTTATCAGATGAGTCACTGTCTGCTAAGGGAGTCCAGTAAAGACAGAGAATTCAGATATGTGGCTTGGATGGATTTTAGTGGAAATTGTAGACTTTCAGGGATAAGACCAAATAGTGGAAGATGATAGGAGAGAGAAAACCCTCATTAGATACTCATCTGTGCATTTTAGTTCAGACACCTTTCCATTAAAATAAAAAAGTGAGAGAGGAGAGAAAGAAAAAGATGGTGGGGAGAGAAATCTATTTCAAACTGCTAGTTCTTTGAGAGGAATGTTAGAAGTGGAATTGAGAGGAATGTTAGCAACGTGTTCAACAATGCTGCTTTGTAGTATGTACCCACTATAAGTCTCACTTTTGGTGATCATTCATCTGCCTGTTGAACAGATGACAGAGTGCCAGTATGAGTCAGGCATTGTGTTAGGTCCTGAAGATACAGAACCCAAGAAGTAGGCCTGCTACCTTGGAGCTTACATTCTACTGGTAAAGAGATAAGAAATAAATGTGTCCTTACGGTTAGAAAAAAAGGTTAAGAATGAACATGAAGCATGATGTCAGGGTAGAAAGTGAGAAAGGAGAGAGGTTTGGGTAAAGTAAGGTTGTTAGGCCTTTCTGTTAAAATCAAACCTCAACATCTGGGTAAATGCAAGCTTCATGTACTTCATCTAGATCAAATTAAAATGTAGGAAGACGGGGGCTGGGAAGGTGGCTCAGTGGTAGAGTGCTTGCCTTGCATGCCTGAGGCCCTGGGTTCGATTCCGCAGCACCACATAAGCAAAATGAAAAAAAAAGCCGGAAGTGGCACTATGGCTCAAGTGGTAGAGCGCTAGCCTTGAGCTGAAGAGCTGAGGGACAGCGCGCAGGCCCAGAGTTCAGACCCCACGACCGGACCCAAAAAAAAAAAAAAAAAAATAAAATGTAGGAAGTGATTCTGTGGCTCCAGGTGGTAGAGCCACAGCTTTGAGCAATAAAGCTCAGGGACAGCACCCAGGCCCTGTTCAAGCCCTGTGACCAACCAAAAAAAACGTATTTTCCTTATTAAGTACAGTTTCATCATCATTTTTAAAACAGTCTTATTAAGCACAATTTCATGTGTCAATTTTAACAGTTTTGCTGTTAACATTTTTGACTTTTTTTGTTTCCCCCAAGCCAGGCTGTCACTACTCCATCCGTCCATTCTGGCTCGGAACTCACCTGTGTCAACCCAGCTGGCCTGGAACTCGAAATCTTTCAGCTGCAGCCTCTGGAGTGGAAGGATTATAGGTATGTGCCACCACACCCAGATAATAACCATTAACAGAATTAACTTATTTGAAGTATAATTTGCATACAATAAGTTACACAGATTTTAAGTGTACCCACACTGAGTTTTGATGAATGCATGTATTACCTGCATCAGCCAGGTGTAAACATGATAGGAACCCAGATAATCCCTTTCTAGCTACACCTTCCCTCACTGAACATAATACTACATTGTCTTTTGCATAGACTTCTTTCAGACTCAGAATAGTGTGTTCTGAAACATTTCTGCCTTGCTCCGTTTGTTAGTAGTTCCTTAAGTGAACTTAAATTGCTTAATAGCATCCTATGGTTTGTACTACATTTCATTTATTCCGCTGAGACAGAGCAGGCCTATTTCTAAATTGGGGTATTCCAAATAAGCTACCAAAAGTATTTTTTTGGGTGGGGGAAGTCTTGGGGCTTGAACTCAGGGCCTGGGCACTGTCCCTGAGCGTCTTTTGCTCAAGGTTAGCATTCGACCACTTGAGCCACAGTGCCACTTCCATCTTTTTCTGTTTATGTGGTCCTGAGGAATCAAACTCAGAATTTCATGAATGTTTCCAGCACCCAAGAGTATTTTTATATTATTTTATTTTTTATTTTTTTGTTGATCATAGGGCCTACTCAGAGCCTGGACACTGATCCTGAACTTTTCTGCTCAAGACTAGTACTCTACCACTTTGAACCACAGCTCCACTTCTGGTTGTCTGGTGGTTAATCAGAGATAAGAATCTCCTAGACTTTCCTGGCTGGTTCCCCAAATCTCAGATCTCAGCCTCCTGATTCACTAGGATTACAGGTGAGAACTACCAGCACCATCCTCAATTGTATCTTTATATAGTTCTGATAGATTCTTTCTTCTGGGCAAATGTCTAGGAGTTTTATTGTGAAACAATAAACAATGATAGCCTATCTCAAAGAACAAACTTGGTATGCATGCCTATAATCCTAGCTATTCTAAAGGATTAGGTAGGAGAAATACCATCTGGCTCTGGCCCCAGGCAAAAACTTGAGGTCCTACTTGAAAACTGAAGCAGGAAAGGCTGGAGGCTTGACTTATGTGGTAGAACACTTATCTTCGAAGTTCTGGGCCCTGAATTCAAACCTCAGCATCACCAACAAACAATAACAAAGTTCCCCAAAACTTCCAGACCTTTCTCCAAAATGGTTGTACTGTTTTATACACCACCACAGCTTATAAGTGCTCCATTTGCTCCATATCCTTAGCAAGGATTAGTGTTATCAAACATTTTAATAGTATCAGTTCCTAATGGTGCTCTGTGGGGATTTGGATTTTAATTTTCATATATTTGATGATTAATGAATTAGAGCAATTCTGTACTTTTTGGTCATTTATATATTTTTCTTTGTGAATTATCTGTTCAGACATTTTGCTTGTGGTTTTTTTGTTTTTTAATCAGATTTTGCTCTTTGTTATTAAGTTGTAGGAGGTCTTTATATGGCTTGAATATTATTCACCTGTCCAATAAGTATTTTTATCAGGATTTTTTGGGTCTGACTTAGCTTGTTTATTTTTTATAATGCTTGTTTATTTTTAATGAGCAGACATTTTTAATTTTGAAGAAGCCTAGATTCCTAATATTTTCTTGCATGGCTGTTGCTTTCTCTGTCTTAAACTGTCTATCCCACAGCCATGAAGAGGCATTTAAAAAGAAAAACATTTAAAAGAGCAACATTTTATACTAATATGTAAAGCAATAGTTACTCAGAAGGTCAGTCATGCTTTTTTGCTAGTTTTATTCCTTGTAAATCTTAAAAGGTGGGATGTAGCTCAATGGCAAAGGGCTTGCCTAGCAAGAGCAATGTCCTGGTTTCAATCCCCAGTACCAGAAAAGAAAAGACAAAAAGTAAAAAGCTTATATATTCCCTATAATTATTCATCATATGACAAATTTTGTAGTAATCAAATCCATAGCTTAATAAGAATCCATTCTTTCTCCTTCTGGTCTCACTATTTGTATATTCAAAGAACTTTAAGCCTCTATTACCTGACTTGTCATCTTGTCTTGTTTCCAGTATTACTCACAGAGGAATGGAAGCCAAACTCCAGAATCTCCCTTCAAATCCCCCTTCTCAACTAAATCTATAGGATGCCAGATCAGAGTGACACCTCCTAGAGGTGGCTGTGACATGAGTCAGTAAGTACTGAAGTACTCACGGCTGGTGGGAAATGTTGGGGAAGAGGTTAGAGTGACAGGAACATGGGTGATAGTTTTCTATGACAAGCAGTTCCTCAGCAAGGCCAGGGAGAGTAAGTGCTCTCTATGTCAGTAATTCCTTTCAAATAAGGGTGAATTGCAAGAAAAGGCCAACTCTTCTGCTTTGTCTGTCATGGGGACCACTAGGGAAACATTCTTTCACAGCAATTGTTTGCAACACTCCCCTTGGGTCAGTTGCCATAAAGGCAGTCTTTGTTTCTTAGCACTTGTCTGACACGATCTTCTGGGGCACAAGTCCTGTTGCTTCCTTGGTGACTAGCTTCCCCCAGAAGGAATCATTATCAAAGCCACTGAAAATATGTTAATTTTGGTTTTGTAATACATACTACATAGTTTTACTAAACATCTCTCTGCAGACAGAAACCCACTCCAGAGGTTCTTTGTGGAAAAAGGATTTATTTCATGGTGACTTTAAGTCCTTGACTATATCAAAATGAACCTGACAATTCACAAGAGAAATTAAAACACATATTTAAACACTACCTGAGCACTCAAAAGGATACCCTACTATAGAAGTCTAAAGGAGATGAATTTGATTCAGACAAGTATGAGAATAATAATAGAATAAATTTCGAGGCAAGTAGTTTTGATCAGAAACTAATATTTCTTCAAAAGAACATGTACTAGGTCTGCATTTAAAATTGTAGTTGATGTGTAACAGAAAAGTTCACAAATCATGAATCTTTTTGTGAGTGATCACATTGACAGCATGCTCTCGAAACCACAACTCTGCTCACAAAATAGAACCTCATCAGCATCTCATTTTCTTTTCTAATCATTCTGACTCTTTCTCAAGGGTAACCAGTCTCCAGATTTCTGATTCCAGATGTATCACATTGGTTTTAGATTTATGCAGACGGCATTGAATGTAAGACTTACTTTGGGTATATTACGTTGTTAAGATCCATCTCTGTTAGCCTTGTATAGCTGTAATTCATTGTTATCAGTAATATTGCATTGTATGAATGTGCTTAATTTGTG